TCTTCGGTTGTTAGTACTCTAAAAATGAATTAAGAATTGGAGTTAAAGCTAGGATGGAAAATATTAATTTGATGCTGAGAACTTGTGGGAAAACATGAATAAGGACATGATAAGTGTAAGCAAACCTGAACGCAGGATTTGTTTTGGACACGACTCCTATGTCTAGCTCAACCGGTTTAAAATCCATAGCCAAAGCACGAGACAGAGATCCGATTGCAATTATTATCGAATCATCTAGGGTAAGCGTGCCTTTCTTTTTAAGCTAGAAAATAGGAAATAACAGTTAACGAGGGCGACACGTGAAAACGAGCAATTATAGTTTACCTCCTTTTCAAGGTAATTTTTAGCCTCCATCTGCTTCGTTCCCACAGCTACTGCCCGATGGCCCGCAACAAAGCCACTGGGATCTGTTTTATAGAGTTGCGGCTTCCCCAATTCATCATCATATGAAATAGCTATCATAGCACAACCAAGAGGCCTCATTTCGGCAGATTGAGTGTAAACCTGGTTTATTTCGCCAATTCGATGAATTAAGGTATCACAAGGCACTTCGTAACCAAACTTATATTTAAAATTAGCTGCTTCATAACGAGCCCGCTGAACTTGTGCTCTGCAGTCTGGAAGCATTCCAGTCATGGCGCAGCCTGTTGAATCGGTTAACCGGAAAAGACGAGTAATTGACCTTCTGTCGACAAGCTTGTCTGGCAATTTGCATTGGCAAGCGACCACAGCGCAGTCGTCCCCACGGACACCGACGGAAGTCAAACCATCCAAGCTGATCGCCTTAAACGTATATTCTGATATATGTGAGTATTACATAATAACCACACCTACCCACTTGAAATAGCCTTCCTTCTGGAGAAAATATTGTCATGAACCTATCAAAACCAGAGGAACTTGAGGAAGACATGGTATTGATGAATCAGAAGAAAAAGTAGGGTTTTGAATGAGGCGGGCTGACCCGCAGATAGAGTATTTTGACGTCTGGGACAAACTATCAAGAAAGAGTATACAATAAATAATATAGACAAAAACGATATAATTTAATTTATAATATTAGGCTATACATGAGCGATTTAATGAAGAAATCTGCAAGCATGTAAAGTTGCAAATAATAAGCAACTAAGATGACAAGATAGACTTTGCATGTACCATCAGATGCAAGATTCTCCACAGAATATGTTAGAAGAAACAAACTTTTGGAAACTTATGTAAAAATTCTAATTTATGGCCGAGATAAAGAGTATATGAAAGTAGAATGTTATCAGAAAAACCGGTTTTAATGTCATCCATCGGCAAAACAATGTAAAAAGAGAAATTTTAAAGAAAATTTAACCATGCAGAGAGCCTAGTGAATCTTAACTCTTCCTAAGTAATTAATTCCTCTTTCAAATAGTTTTGGAATCTCAATCAATATTTTTTTGCCATATGAATGGGAACGCAACAGAAAATTACGGTAAACCTTTTTAGATGACGATAATATGGATATAAAGTCTGGACACCAGAATGAGAAGGCACAACCAAAAATTTTAAAAACCACAAGTTTAGTTTGAGGGAAAACATCATGTAAACTGTGAAATGTCTTATTGAAAGAAAATAGCTCAATGGAAGCATGAACTGATTCTCATTCTTTTAATTGTCCTAATACATTACGGGAGGGTGACGAAAAGCTAAAATATAAGGGAGGGCTCCAAATAAAGTACTTCATTGTCTGTCCTCTACAATTTGTGTTCTATTAATTTTTAGTACTGGGTCACCGTTTAGGTAGATTCCCAAATTTCTTACAGACACCATAGTTGGTGTTAGACAGCATCACATTTAGGACAAAAAAATACAAGACGTCAAATTGGCTAAATAAATGAATCTCTTTGCAAAAAATTCGAATAAAATATTATAGCATCTTACTTCTCATCCTATCCTAGCTCCGAAGCTTATAGTCTCAACAGTCAACTGTAATTCTTATGATATATATAAAGATCAAAATATGTTGTGTGCTCTGTTTTGGTAGAAGTGATTTGAACTTGCCTTAACAACTTAGTCGAATTATCAGTTAAAACTAGACAAGAATGTCGAGGGACTTTTATTTTGTATGAAAGTAAAA